GCATGCAGAAGGAAAAGGGAAGATTTTGGCAGCTGCAAAGACACTATGCCACATAGTGTAAAAGGGCTAGGGACCTGGCCCTACTTAAAAAAAAAAACAACAACAAACCCCGGAGTCCTGTAAAGACCCAGTAGCAGGTTTCACTGAGTTGCAGCACCCCAGACGAGGTCATTCTGTGATATAACAGCTACAGAACGAGAGCATTTGGATCTAATCTTAGAACACAGAGCTGCCCAATGGGAGCACAGGTAAAAATCCTTTTCTCCCCATATATGATATTGCTTTCAGCTTATTAAAAATTAAAACTACGGTACATTCACCACAGAAATATCATTTACCAACAGCTACCAACCATACTCTAGTATTAGCAATTCCATAGTTATTTCTTACTCCAAAGACAAACTCTATTTTTTTTTCTCTCTTTCTTAAAAGAAGATGTAGGATGGGGAAAATGAAAGATGGGAGACTGAAGTATAGTTTTGCAGCTAAACATTTCAGTAAGAGATACAGTGTACCTTAATCAGAAAATCAGCCAACAAATTGTAAGTTCTCTTTTGAACTACACCTCTACCTCGATATAATGCTGTTCTCGGGAGCCAAAAAAATCTTACCACGTTATAGGTGAAACCGCGTTATATTGAACTTGCTTTGATCCACCAGAGTGCGCAGCCCCGCCCCCCTGGAGCGCTGCTTTACCGCGTTATAGCCGAATTCGTGTTATATCGGGTCGCGTTATATCGAGATAGAGGTGTACCTGAAACTGTGGATCTTCAGTTTAGCAAAACAACTGATTCGACTCCACCTATCATTTAGAAGTCTTCTCAAGTCACCATTTGTGTAGTAATGTATGTATTTATTTTTTAGTCAAATAATGTCCATCACTGAAGACAGATTGCGGTTTTTTTTACATTAAAAATGCACTTGGTAGGACAACTAATGGAGTATTGTATTAGGGAAAAAAAAGAGGAAAAATTCCAAATTATTATACTAAAAATTAGGGAATTTTAATAAGTGTTGATGGAAGAAGATTATTCTCATTTAAAATTAGTTCAAAACATTTAAAAGGTGGAGAACACTCATCTAAGGCATTTCAGTTTTAGGAGGCAACCCTATTGAAACCACTAATCTATAACTAACAATCAAGCTCTGAAATATTTTCTCATTGGCAAGAATTTAAGACGTATTTATCAAATATATTAGTCTTGGAAATTTTGTATTTGATACACATTCTCAGAAAAGAAGTTGGGGAAGGAAAGAGGAGCTAACAAACATGCAGTGGCTAGAAGGATCCTCTTATCAAAGGCCACAAAGTATCAGAGCAACCTGCGTTTTTTTATCAATCATGAAAAGTTAATGCAATAAATTCATCTATAGTTTAACTCCACTGAAGTCAAACACTAGAGATGAATTTGGCTCAATATACCCAAGTCATTGTCACCTCCCCAGCATGCTGTTTCAGCCATGTGTGAACTTTGTTGATTTTAATCTCTTTAGATGACAACCTGCCATCAAAATTCAAAAGTTTTCTGCCAACATAACTTATTCTGTAACGTATTCAAAGGGGATAAGAGAGGCATACAAGTTATTTAACTTATTTGAATACACACACATTGGCTCCATACAGTCTCCTTATAAGAATAAAAACTGCTTCCTAGTAAAACAGAACCTTATTATTAAAACTTTATATTTTAAAGACTCAGCTTTTCATTCTAATCAAAATTAAAATTGTAGGACTAGATCCCCCAAATCATTTTTGGTACACCACTCACTCCCTTCCGCATAACCAAAATCATATGTACAAATGTCAAACTGCATAGCCATATACCATGTATCAATCATGTTCACTAAAAAAAAAAAAAAAAATTAAAGTTGAGGTTTTTTGTATTTGTATTTTTTAATTCAGAGAAGTTTAAAAAAAAGCTTTTATAGTCAGATCCCTCATTTGCCAAATATGGCTGAGCAGATTTAATCTAACTTGATCATAAAAACGAAATTGTATTTTGGCTGCCAAGGTTAAGCCTGATAAATTAAATGGCAACGTATACAACTATTAAAAATTAGGTTTATAAATAAAAATGCTGACCATATCTCATCTATGGCAGTGCCAAGTGTTAATATGATATAGAGGTGAAGAACAAGAATCTTTTTAACAAGTAATTTGACAGAATGCAGTAAGCAGCACAAAAAAAAAATTTTTTTTTTTTAAATCAGACTTCGGGGTAGGAGTGTCTTGTCAAGCAGGTAAGAAAATCAGATATGCGTGTGTGTGTCAGGAAAAACCTCAAACCTGAATTTTTGCCTCAAAGGCTTTTAGCCCTTCTATCATTAACTTCACATCAAATGAAACTAGTAAAGATGTCTGGCAAATGAAGAATAACTGGAGCTGAACTGCCACTTTTAATAACCTAGTTCCCATGTTAAACAAAGAGATGGCCCTAGGGTTTGAGAATTTGTTGCAGGCACAAACACCCGCTAATAGTAAAGTAAATGCAGATGAGCTAAGTCAATTTTAACAACATGCTCTGTTTTTCCCTTTTAGCCATTTAAAAAAATTAAAGATTTATATAGGTATTATGAATTCTTACTGCTTATTTGTTTTAGGGCAAAGATAAAAATGGATAGCATGGTGGACAGGTTTTTGATGAATTTTTGGTGTTACATTTTTAAATGTGTACCTCATAACTTTAGATGATAAAATTGGTGCCTCTCCCCTCATGCGCCCCCCCCCCCATGTAGTGCTCTCTCCCCCTTACGTAAGAAAACAAGGCTTCAGTCCTTTATTTAGAAACATGATATTTACAGTGAATGTATGTTGCTTCTATGGGGTAGTTTGTTCCACCTGACAGCAAGTATATTGGTTTTCATCTTCACATGAAGAGAAATAAAGATTTAGCTTCCCAATATTGATACATTAAGTTGTGCCTGGGGGAGGTCATTCATATATACATGGAAAAAAAAGAGGTCAATCAATCATTTATAGCTCAGTTATAGTTGCAGCTACTTCCATAGAGACTTTTTTTAAGTTTATTTTAGAGCTTGTGACAAACCATCACATTGACAGCACTGAAATAATTGAAGCACTGTATTGAACAGGTAGGAGTTCAATCTCCATGCCTAGTTAAATCCTTGGCCTTTGAGACTACAAAACAAGGGCTACCAGTTGTGAAGTTTTGCAATGTCCACTAGAAAACTGGATTAATGCCCAGCTCATTTCATTCAGGTCAAAAATAACTTTTAGTCACTACTGACCTAGAGATAAGAGTGTCTCTATCCCATTACCTAACCCTTGAAAAACACAGATACAAGGGCTAGTGAATGCATCTCTTTTACATTTTAATTTTATAACCCTCAATAATACGCACATGTGTCTTGCCAGACATATGCTAAGCTTAGGAAGGACACAAAAAAAGAACAAGTTTTTCCCCCCATGAGGTTTACCATACAGAAATAAGATGGAAATTAACTAAACTTACAAGTGTACTGAAAATACCAGAATTTCAGAGCCACTCTCAAGTAGGATGTAGTGAACATAGGTAGTCGTCAAGGAGAATTTGCTGGATTTCCTTACGGATCCATCTTTGATCTCACAACGTATCAAAATGCTAAACTACAACCTAGCCAGACAAATTTGTGTGTGCGTGCGCGTGTGTGAGATTTGACAAAATTCAAACAATTTTAAAAAATTATTCCAGTACTGTATAGGTTTTCATAGAGTCCAAGTGTGCACAGATTGCTCATGCTAAAACCAAAAACATTTTGCACTTGTGTGTACAGGAAGATATTGCCAATTAGACCAACTGAATGGAGTGGAAAAAAAGGGTCAGAAGTAAGTAGAAAGGAAAGGCAGAAGATCAAAGTGAAGATAAAGTCACATGAAAGGCCTGACAAAGGGAATCAATGCAAAGGAATGGGAAAGGCACTTCAAATTAACCCAGATTTCAGGATTTTCCACTTGCATGTTACATTTTCCTCAGAATATACACCCTGAATCCTTATTTAAGTATTATTACCACCATAAATTCTGTGAATAGCAGCATTTATTTTGTTCACAAAAAAACAAAGACAGGGTGTCTACGATACCTTCCTGAGATTTAGAGTCTAGATGATTATTATTAAACATACGTACACACAAAAACGGAATGCAGTCAAACTAGAATGTAACAAAGACTGCCACCATAAGTTTCACTGATAAAATAGTTATGTACAATCAATCATTTAAGATTACGCTGGCTAGATGATATTAGAGTGTGTTAGTTTCTACTGATCTTTATTTTCGGTATACCTTTCTTTAGATACAATTGTTTAGTTTATCCAGTTTCAGACATTATTCCAACCTTGCAATCATGAAAATTTAGCATACAAGTATGCTCACCATTCTTTGTCATGATCAATAATGAAAATACAAAAAAATTATTTGCCTGTGCAAAAACAAAATTAGAGGCTCTGGGCCACTGGATTAGAAGAATTTGCAAGGCTGCATTATTCATACACATTTCAACTCATCCACTCATGAACACTGTACTGCATTGCAGGTTACCTGCTTTACATTAAAATCTGGGGGAAAATTAGCCCCGGGGGGAGGGGGGGGGGAATTAATGGCACACTTAAGGATGTGTGTTGTTAAGAGATCTCTACTGTATCTGAAATTACATCAATTCATATCCCTGCTAATTATCACCCATGCTAGATTTGTTGATCTGGCACCTATGGCAGGAAAAACTGGTCACTACTGCTTTATCTTGATTGATATAAATCCAGGTGACAGCTTAATCTGAGGAGATGACATTCCACACCCACTAATTCTCTGCCCTTTCACTGACTACAAAGTTACAACAGTGCACATCAGCTCTATCATTGACACCAGTTTGAACCTGCACATTTCTATGCTACGTGATGAAGAAGTTAAGGTGGTTCATTTGTGTTTACAGAACACACTTTTAATCAGCAAGTTGGAATAAACACACCCTTTAGCATTTTAGTAGAAGAGAGGAAACACTTACTAGTACAGAACTTCGTTTGCTTCATGCCTTTCATATCTCACAGTTTCACACATCAGCCTGTAAGAGAAAAAATAAGACAATTCATTTTCTTTTACCACCTTCATAGTTTATCATTCAAAGGAAGCCTCAATGTCTGAAAAAAGTTTTATTAAAATATTTAATGAATATTTTCACATTTGTTTTCAGCCCTTAATGAAAATAATATATGTTTAAGTTTAAGTTGTTTACCGACATATCTAAACTGCTGAGTTTACAGTACTGAAATTACCAGTTTACCTAACGTGACTATTGGTGGGATGTAACTTCTCCCATTAAATGCTTAGGCTCTGTAAAATGGGGATAATGATATTGACCTCCTTTATAACATGCTTTGAGATCTGCTGATGAAAAGCACTGTAGAGGAGTTAAGTATTATTTCACTTTTCAGTGTAAGCTACTTCAGAATATAAGGCACATTGTAAGAAAAATAAAGCAATATGCAATAGTGAGCAGATTTCTTTTGTGAGATTTCCAGTACCTGCTTTTTCAGGTCAAGCCAAATATACCTCAAAAAAGTACCTCATGACACTTCTGCCCTTGTCTGAAATTTTGAAGCTTTAGCATAAAATCCCTTACTCGTTTCCAATTCCAAAAGGGCAGTAAGTTACAAAAAGGTGAAAAGATTTTCCTGCAGGAAAATCTTCTCTCCAGACTACAGGAAAATCCTTAATGCCCCTTTCACATCCAATACGTGCCACTTTTCCTTCAGGTGCACTTATTTCAAACAAAACTTTCCTAAGTCCTGAGAATAGTAATCTTCCTCTTAGGGTACGTCTATACTTACCTCCGGGTCTGGCGGTAAGCAATCCATCTTCTGGGATCGATCCCGGAAGTGCTCGCCGTCGACGCCGGTACTCCTGCTCTGCGAGAGGAGTACGCGCAGTCGACGGGGGAGCCTGCCTGCCGCGTCTGGACCCGCGGTAAGTTCGAACTAAGGCCTGGTCTACACTAACCCCCCAAGTCGAAGTAAGGTACGCAACTTCAGCTACGTGAATAACGTAGCTGAAGTCGACATACCTTACTTCGAACTTACCGCGGTTCAGACGCGGTCCACACGCGGCAGGCAGGCTCCCCGTCGACTCCGCGGTACTCCTCTCGCCGAGCTGGAGTACCGCAGTCGACGGCGAGCACTTCCTGGTTCGACTTATCGCGTCCAGACCAGACGCGATAAGTCGAACCCAGAACTTCGATCCCCAGCCGCCAAACTAGCGGCTGGGTGTAGACCAGCCCTAAGGTACTTCGACTTCAGCTACGTTATTCACATAGCTGAAGTTGCGTATCTTAGTTCGAAGTGGGGGGTTAGTGTGGACCAGCCCTTAGTGATGAAATCAGTGAGGATACTTAGAACCACTTTATCTTCATGAAATACATAGCATTGTGGCTCAGTGGCTTACACTATTTCTCCCACTCCACCTCCCCCGCCGGTAAATATTGTATACTTACAAAGCAAACTGCAAACAGAAAGGCTACTTGCTGGACAAGTATAAGGAGATTTGCTTAAGAGGCTAATGTGAATATTTTATTAAAACATTAGGAACTATATTTGAATTCCAGGCAGAAATTCTCAGTCGCTAGGGGTGTGATCATTTCTGTTGCAATGAGATGTCTTGCTATATGAAGATGACCCACTAGCTTCTGATGACATACCAAGATAAAGTTTCCCAGCACTATGACCTTCATTCCACCAGGGTGGCTAAAAATTGATTTTTAAAAAACAAAATTTAAAAAACTGGACTTTAATTTAAGTTATAAGCTTTTTCTCTTTAAAAATAGACATTTAAAATTAAATATGAATTTAATACAAAATATGTTAAGGCCTAAACTTATTATAATCTCTTAGAGTATTTAAATAAATATGCTGAATTGAGGAGCCTCTATCAAAAGCTGAGTTAAAGTTTGTTTTTCTATGTAAAGATAGGATCAGGGAAAAACATCTAACTTTTGAGGTCAAGCTTTATAAATAAGACAACAGGTCAGCCTAAGTAATTTAGGAGACTGTCTCATTTTCAAGAGACAGAGATGAGACTAGGAATTTAATCTCCAGCCACTTTCACTTAGGCATATTTGAAATTTTTTTCTAGGCTGACCTGAAATAATCAATTTAATTCACTGACTTCAGTTAATCCCTCTGGTTAATTTAGATGAAAAATGTGAAACGTGTTTTGATAAGAGAAGTTTATGTATCCTAAACATTGAGGTTGTTTTGCTTGATAAAAATAAATTGTATATGCTGTTGTGTGTGTTCAGTTAAATTCCAGTTGCCACCCTAACGAAGCTTGACACAAACTCATGAGCAAAAAGTGAATTAGCAAATAAATAAGCAGTATATCATTCACCATTTTCTAACATACTCAAAATGCACAATTAATAAGAATTTGAAAATATTAAGCTATATAATTTCTTAATTAAATGTATATAATTATAGTATACCCTTGTAGTAGCAAAAAGATGTACCAAATCTAGTGTACAGGCTCCATTTACTTAAAATGTTTTAATGGTTATATTAACCAATGAGAATGCACCTTTTTTTAGAAACTGAAGTACAAATAAAGTGGATTAAAACTGATTATTTAAATTGAGGCTTCCCACTTGGTAATTTAAATCATGATTTAAATCAATCCACCCAGCACCCCAGGCAAGTAAGTGGGGAAAAGCCTGACAGTATGGCTTCTCAATGAGTGGAGGGAGAAACTGGTTTGGGCCCCTGGATCATTTAGATTTTTCTATTAAAATGCGACAAGGTTTCCCCACGGCCATTGCTATTGCCTCCTAGCTCCATGGCCTCAATAGCCAATTTGGTTCTACTAAAATTACCCCTAAATCCACTCTCTCACCATAGCTTTTTAACAACCTTGGCTAGTGAGGGGAAACAAGGGAGTTTTTCCTGTTAATGGATAGGGCCTGAATTTTTTCCTGCTTATGAACAGAGGTGGTTGTGACCATTCCTTTCCCTGGCAATAGACTGTCCGCTCCTGTATCAAACAGTCCACTTTGATGTTGAGAACCTCTCTGATCTGCATCTCCTGCATCAAGAAAAAGTTTCTGCTCACTGGAAGGGCACTTTTGCTTCCTTGTGCAATGAGAAGCTTATTGGGCCTCACTATTTATTAATACATCCTACTGCTGAAATATTGTCCACTGTATCACAGGGAAGCACATGGCTTTCCATGAGAAGATCCTGCAACCTTAAAAAAAAAAAAACGATGCCTGCCCTTAGTTCTGGGATCTCAATCTTAAATTATTGAGCTTCTTGCTCTTACTTATCATAAATCAATCTGTGGAACAGAGAAGCTAAGAGAAGGTATAGAATAGGAAAATCACTACACCTCTACCTCGATATAACGCTGTCCTCGGGAGACAAAAAATCTTACCGTGTTATAGGTGAAACCGCATTATATTGAACTTGCTTTGATCCACCGGAGTGCGCAACCCCCCTCCCCCCCCCCGAGCACTGCTTTACCACGTTAGATCCGAATTCGTGTTATATTGGGTCGCGTTATATCGAGGTAGCGGTGTACTTCTGGAGTGAAAATTTTAAAAAATGAAATATTAATAAAGGAACCTGATAAATTCTTCTATAGCCTCTGCTCTGCTAGCAGAGTTCTGTGTGATGCGCAGGCTGGGATTAAGGAATTATAGGAGACTCTGGTTTCTCAGTGACAGTGCAATTTTACTTGGCACATAAATTCAGTTTCGATTTGAGTTTGGGGCAAAGGTTGAAATCCATTCCTCCTTTAGGCAGACAGACAAATTCACTCTTCCTTAGTAGCACTATGGCTGAATTTTCTGTAGCTAAACAAGTAACACAATCATCTTGCACAAGGTGGCACAGTGTTTTCAGTAACAAATGTATGTGTTTTGTTATAATTAATATAATTAAAGCTCTTTCATAGTTGATTACTTCCTTCCTATATATAAAGTTTCTGACAGTACTGTGGGTGTGCTAATATTCATTTGAATGTTACATCTATCTCCTACATCACAACATAATTTAGTCAACCAAGTTCAGAACCAAAGTCAACTTCAAAAAACCCAAAACTTTAAGATAGCATTTTTCAGTAGTGAACAAAGCTATTTTAGAAGAAAAGCTTGCTGTCTAAAAAAAACCCACAAAAACAATTCATCTCCAAAAATGGTTTACAAACTAACCGGCACAAAAAGAGTGTTACTATCCTAGAAAATGCTATAAACCTGCATCTGGATGAAGTCAGCCTTTTCTATATATGGTATTGTAAACAGAAGCTCTCCTCTAGGAATTCTCTGTGTTAGTAAAGTTAACAGGACAAGTTCCACACATTCCTTAGAAAGAATCTCTTGACTTAATTCCAATTTACAAGCCAAAGCCATTCATCAATGTATCAGGCCACTAGGGTCCTTGTTTACAAGTTGTAAGGTCAGTTTAAGCTTAGTATTCTTGAACATGGATAAGTTCGCTAAAAATGTTAATTATTATGAAATTATGTGCAATACTGCAACAGATGGTGAGTGACCAAAGCTCACTTTCCAGAACAAAGTGAAGTGAATTTTGTATATACAGACAAGTTGCAAAACATATTCTGACTGCTCTTGGATAAAAAATTCAATACTTGGATAAAACTGCATAAAATGACATGTGAATGACAAAGTAACAGTCTAGAGCAGGGGTCGGCAACCTGCGGCACACGGGCTAATTTAATGTGGCACGCTGCTGCCGGCCTGGGGTCCCCGCCGCCGGCCCCGCTCAGCCCGCTGCTGGCCTGGATGGACGGAACCCCGGGCCGGCAGCGGACTGAGCGGGGCTGGCGGCCAGGACCCCAGCTGAGAGGGGCCGGCAGATGGAACCCCAGACCGGCAGCGGGCTGAGCAGCTCAGCCCGCTGCTGGCCCGGGGTCCCGGCCACCGGCCCATGTAAATGTAAAATGTATTACTGGCACGCGAAACCTTAAATTACCGTGAATAAATGAAGACTTGGCACACCACTTCTGAAAGGCTGCTGATCCCTGGTCTAGAGACTAAAGATCAGCATCCAGATCATAGAT